AAGATTTTCTAAAAGATAGACAAATAAAGATAAATGGAGGGATTTTTTATCCTTCGCTGAACAGCACAACTTACACGTTTCTCAGAAATGAGATGACTCTGAAATAGTGAGAGATTGACAAGCTAGAATGATGCAGGCTAAATATGGTTAAACGTTTCATATTCAAATACAAAAAATACATAAGAAAGACAAGTAATATGTGAAAAGAGTAAGGTCATATTTACCCGATGCTGTTTGAATTTGGCTCTTCATTCCCTTTGTTGATAAAGCCAAAAATATGTCATTTATTTTTAAAATATTAATAGCTCGTAAAGATGCAAGTGGCATAAATCACTGTGAAAAATACCTGTAATAAGAGATGCTTTTACCGCTATAGAAGTTTTAGAACAGCCAAAAAGGGAAAAGGTGAAGATTTCTCGTAACCACAAAGAAGCACAATTAGGTAGATTTATGCATTCAGCCTTGATGCCTGAAAAAAGTAGCAAGGCATATGTTACTCGGCCTTTCACGATAAATGTTGAGGCGGCAAAGTTCATATTAGGTAGACAAACTAAGACTATGGAGAAATCCAAGTGCAGCGTAGCTGTTTCAATTTACGCAAGGACATCTCAGTCAGCATCTTAGAGCCGATAAAATGAAATAGATCAATGACTAGAAATTACTTAAATATTAAGAAAAGTACATCTTAATGCTAATTTATCATAGAAAGCGCATGTAGTTTAGGGCGACCAAGCAAATTAGCTAATTTTGAAATAAGATTTATCTATGTTATAGTTGAAAGTTTATTCTATCCTCAACAGAACAGTGGAGCATGGAACTGGTTCGGAAAATCAGGAACCTATTTATTTGAATCTGCTTGAAGTTGCTGAAGCCAACCATAACGAAAAGAAAGTTGGAAAAACCACTTAAATAATGGTTATATTGAATTCCTAAGATTATCAAATCTATATAAATCAGAATATTCCTCCTTATTAAGATAAAGTTAGTCTAGCAAATAAATATCGAGTTTGAAGGCACCAACTACTCGTAAATAATAAACCGAGCTAATGTAATACGATGCTCAATCAGATACATGACTTAAGCCTGTTTATAATTAACAAAATATGAATGAAAAGTATGCACAGAAAAAGACTGACCAATTAGTACAAATATTATCAGGTCAGACTTATGCATGTATAACTCTTGCGAAAGGGCTAAGTTGCCCGTGAAGCTCCTCTCATCTTCCTGATGAGCTTCTGCGTGGCAGACTCGTTCGTCCTAATTCCAACTCATAAATATGAATCAAAGTCGCCCTTTGTAGTTCTATCTCATATTAAAAATCAAGTAAATTTTTCCAAAACTTTGAATTCCCCAACAAGATAGTTTGTCAGCCATTCACGAAATAGCAAAGGCTCTAATCGGCTTTCAGAAGCATATACAAGATAATCTAAGCGGTAAAATATTGTCATTAATGAATTAGCGAACAAAATTTTTAAAAAAAATGATCAAAAGATAAAATCGAATCCTGACCTTCCTGAGTGGTTTCCGAAGCTTTAGAATCTCTGCAAACCTAGCCATTGTGGTCCACTTGACGTAGAGCTTAACAAACACGAGGTCGTCAAATGCGAAAAGTAGAGCACTGGCACTGTAGGAGCTGGCAACTATTCTGTGTCGGTACAAGTCAAGTTGCGATGGGGTTTGTCCATCATGGGCGTGATCATGAGCAACATTCACACGACCGGCATGATCAGCAGGTGAGCAATGGCGCAGACGTTGTGGTGAAGAGGGTGGTGAAGATGGAAACTGATTTGAGCCCGAAGGCTGTGGCCCGGGAGAGAACTGACGCATTTTACAGGCCTGATCAACTGACAGACCGATCGGTGGTGGGCCAGTGCCAGCAAGCAGCTTGCCGTTAGTGTCTTCGACCTATAAGGTTAGATTGAACAGAAAAGAACACAGCAAAAGAAAATGAACTGGAGAGAAGAAAAATTCATCTCGAGTTAGTAAAAGGGATTACGCTGAGATGCAGACGAACTCAGTGTTAATAAACTAGTGTCGCTTACAGTTAGTAGAAAGATGATTAAATCTGAGCCACGAATTTTCGCAAAACTTCACTAATTTGTATGTTAGTAGCGAAAGTTAGCAACAATTGAAAATAAAATAAGACTTGATGGGTGTCTATAAAGAATTATTCAAACAGAAAGCAAATAATAAGTATGAGGAGGAAATGAAAGCGAACATATCAAATTGTTTTTTAGGATAGGACAAAATTTGTGATGGAACATATTTGGAACAAGCATGGTTAGCAGTATAAGGTATAAGCACCCATGATGATTATTGATAGGGAAAACAAAGTTGATGAACTCATTAAGTTGAAAAAAAGAGGTTGCACTAAGCAAAAATTATTGAATCTGAA